TTACCAACAGTTTGCCTTCCGCACATGCACAACACACTGGGAGGTTTTCTGCATTAATGCATTCACAACAGCATCAAATCCTCCGCATTATAGAGGTGAGAGATGGAGCAGCCGAGTGCAGCAAGCAGAGACAGGACGTTTCTGTAACACACTGCTGTTTAGCTTTGTCAAATGTCAATTTCAAGGTTTTGACCGCCCCAAACAAAATTCCTCTCACCTCCATTGCACTGACATTTGAAGCATTCCTTTCAGACGCAAACAAGTTCAAGACCAAGGCTCGTAAAAGCTGCATGACTAGTCACCATAATGAGACCTTTTGTGATTACAGGTATCCGAGTGTTTTAACATTCCCAGGCTGCAGATGATAAAATCTACCCCTGAAAATGAAGCACGGCAGCTAAAACTAAGGCTCGAATAAATGTTCTCTATATGGTCATGTAAAAGTACAATGTTGGCAGTTTGAGTTTAGCTTGAGTTCTGCTTCCTGATAATTGGTACAGCATAGTTAGCTGTGCCAGTAGAACATGGAAATGACGATTTGTGAATGTGTTCTCAATCACAGTGAATCAGTATGCTAACCATTTGTTTAGCTTTTCCTCCACAGTCAAAGCACTGTCTGAAATAGCAATGCAAATAAAAGAAAGGGAAAGCAACGCTGTGGGCCAGTTGCATATTTTGCATCAGACATGCTCTGTTTGTACAGTGAGCCAATAAATCGACCATTGAATCTGATTCAGTATAGTGTAAATATGCTTGAATCACAAACAGAGTATATCTAAACACAGGTGTAGAGAGACCACCTCCATGTTAGCGGTCAGATGAACTTGTGTAGTTTTTGCAGCGTGTACATGTGCAACTAACAAAAGCCAATGGGAGGTGACGCATCAGTCGTCCTTTGTCACCAGTATTTCTGTATGTCCCAGCCCTTGGACTGTGTGATCATAAGCCTTTCCAGTGTGACCTCAGCAGCATCGCAGTTATACAGAAAACCATGTGTGGTATGTCGGCTCTGATCACAGAGGCCCACAGCATGGTTTGTGAAATGTATCCTAAGCATCTGTAAAAATATCTTTAGTATTCAGGTATTAAATGTGTCTAGAACATTTTTGAATTATTACGCAACAGTTACATCAATTCCTCAATGGGAAAAATTACAATGGACATTTGAGATTAAATGGAAAAGAGTGATTTGTTCCACATTCACATCTGTTGCGAAACTTCGCCTCCAACTTCTGATTTTCTTTGACATGGGGGCTGCAGCACAACTACGGACAACTTGCACTTAGTCGCGTACGAGACAGTCTTTGTGTAATATTTCTTACTTTGTACCGAGGTGCCATGAGCAACTGCTTTGAAATCAGACACTGCAGATATGCCACCCTCCATAAGCCCACAGGATAACCTCCCAATGTTGAGCAAGATAAAAATGTTAAAATGACAAAATCTTCACTGTGACAGATGATCTGTACAATGTATCTCCACCGTTAAACTTAAACCAGACACAGTTAACGGAAAAAACAGGTAAGCCCGATCTGAGTTTTTGGTTTAGAATGTTGTTATTCTTAGAACAATACAAAATAGCTTTGCAACTCTCTGTAAGTCAAGATACCAGAGGATGATGAGAAAATAAGCAATGGTGTAATGCATTACATACTTAACTCTCAGTAAAATATGACAGCCCATGTTCTTGTTTGCAGGAAGTGGACTCTTTCCTGGCAAAACTCCATGTCCATCTATTCTTCCCTTACAACTGAGATAACTGTAGAACTGATGTGATGTTTGGAGAAACTACTTGAGTCTCACCTGTTTTACTTGGAGTCGTGTCCTTAAAACACCAGATTAGACTTAGATATAAACTTTGTGCTTACAGGGAGTTAGGGTAAACACAGTCAATCTAATGCAGCAGGTTCATCAAATCTAATCAATACTAACAAAACATGAAGAAAACAGCAATAAAGCAATTCACTTGTGTGCATCTACTGACCCTTTACTTGAATTTTCTCCAAACCCAGATATTTTACTCGGTAACTATGAGGTTTTTTTTTACTTAATGTTCACGTGAACCACAAAAGTGGTTGTAAAGAAAACAAAGCTGGAGAACAAAAGCAACACAAGCTCTAACAACTAATAATCGAGACAGTTTTTATCTTCAGTAAAATAGTACAAACAAAGATAATCAATATGATTTCAAACAGTTGTATGGTCTGGTTTCATGCTGTGATAAATCACAAAGCGGTTTCATTTTAACGATGGCTTCTTGTGCTCGGATTTCGAAAGCGATTGCTTAATCACACACGATGGGATGCGGAGTGTGACACGCAGCATTGGAAGTGAACTACAACAAACTCCTGTTTACGTGCCACATCCATTTAGACACAAACAACCTACATCTGCTTATTTCACTGCTGTACACACAAAGCGATGCTGAGGAAAACCGTCGTCCGAGTGGAAAACCAGGCGATGGGCGACGTATCGGAGGCCGCTCGGGTTAAAGCTCTGTGGAGGCGTTGTACTGAGGTTTCTAAAGCAAATATCTGCCCATCACGCTCCATTTAATTACACGTTAAATCACACCACGCCATTTTCTCATTCGTTAACTCAAGAAAACAAAGGTTGTCTACAAAGGCCTTACAATTACACCTTTGGTGGAGGCTAGGAGGATGTGGAAGCTAACGCAGTGACAGCTAACGTTCTCCCTCCCTAGACTTTGTTTACCTTCACGAACGTATTTCCACCAGACAACACAAGTGCCACAAATCAAATGAACCATAAACACACGTTTCCTGAAATATAACGCCTGACCTCTATAACGTGAACGTTACTTCTCGGTGTCGTTACCTCACTGGGGGCTAATGCTACTTACTGAACACGAAACGGACACCAGCGAGTTCGCCGCTTGAAAAAAACAAATGTTTCAGCTAATGGCCCCAAAACTAACAAGCAGATATTGTGATGATGTTTGATTCTGTGATTCGATATAATCTCCAACTGCAGCGTGACGACACAAGCGTCAAGAGGTAGCCTCGGTGTAGCTGCTAGCCATCACACATGCTAGCTAGCTAAAGGAAAATGGCTAATGTAAACATCAAGTGCTGGTGGCCGAGGTCCCGGGGAGATGTGCACCACTTTTATTTACATGTGATAGAAAGAGAACAACTGGCGTTTAATCGTTTATTTATTCTAGAAAATAAAAAATAACACAACACGGCCACTGGCTCTAAATTAGCAGCAGCTAGCTTCGACAGTCACAGCTTGTTCCGTTAAACTTCCAGTCGGGTGTTCAGGAAACAACCGTGACAGGCCGGTGTTTCCCACACAGTTTACCGCTGGGCTTCACTTCACCGAGCACACGGTGGTTTAACCAGCGGACACCTCCGTGAAACCTGCGCTGACATTTTCAGCAGCAGCCTCAGCTCGGGCTGAACACAGCGGTGGGAATGTAGGACAAGGCGATTAAAAATGGCTGCTGCCCAGAACAAAGCAACAATAAAACAGGGCAGCGGAGAAGAACAAGGCGAAACCGAGGATTTAAGCGAAGCATCCGCGTCCCGCAACTCACCGATTGAACGAGTTAGCTTTTCTCCTGGCTGCTGACAGAGATGTGTTTCCACAAAGTGTTGTCGAAGCGGAGGATGGATGGAGATTGTTTCAGCCCCGATTTTCTCAGCTTCAACCGAGATCAGTTGCTTGGGTCATACCCGGCCTCAGACTGTAGGGGGCAGAGTGGAGCTGGATCCGCTCCCTGCGTACCTACGTCACCGAGCGACGTGAGCCAGGAAATAGGGGGATTGACCCCTGCTGGTCAACAAGAGCAATTACAATGATAGATAGATGGATAGATAGATACATAGATAGATAGATAGATAGATTCATAAATGGATAGATAGATAGATAGATAGACAGACAGACACACATAGAGAGAGAGAGAGAGAGAGAGAGAGAGAGAGAGAGAGAGAGAGAGAGA